AATTTTGTGATGGATATGGGAGTGCCCAGTCCATTGTAGTTCTGGGTTCTATACAGAAGCTGAGTGAGCAATCACTCCTTTAGAACCTCTACATCAGGTTCTGTCTTTGGGTTCTTATCCTGTTTGAGTTCCTAGCCTGTTCTTTTACTGGTGAACTATGGATGTGTCCATAGTCCCTTTCTTCCTCAACTTCTTTTGGTCAGGGTGTTTCATCAAAGCAAAAGTAACCCAAACTAAGACAGAAATTGATACTAGAAGTAGGATATTGCTGTGAGAGACCTGACTGTATTATTGGGAGGATTGTGGAAGGACTTTGGAACTTTGGGGTAGAAAAACCATTGAGTGTTGAAAACTCAATGTGATGTTTTGCATAATCCTGGAAGATAAGAATTTTGGAAAGGAGTTCAAATGATGAAGAGCTTACTTGAGAAGTTTCACAGTGAAGCAACCATTCTACAGGGTCATGTGTATGAACAATCTGTAATATTTGGTCAACTAGGGCTGAAGACTCATCCATGATTAAGAAGAGACTGAAATTTTTTTAAGTGAAATCTTTGAGTTACTGGAACACTTGATGCTGATTAGCTGGAACTAAAAAATTAGCAGTGATTAAGACCAGCAGCACTGAGGTGAAATCTTCTGGAAAGTGTTTCCTGTTTCCTGGGAGTTAGCACACCAAAGGTGTGTTTCAGAGGTTCCTACTGTTGGACCTCCTGGCAGCCAACCTTGGTAGTGTAAGAGTCATCCGGATAGTACTGGTTTTGAACACATGAAGGGTTCATGGAGATCAGATGAGGCTTTGAACTGTGAGGGGTCATTGGTAAAGTTGCACCCAGAGCAGCAGTAGAAGCCCCAGGGTTTCAGGGGTCGAGGTAAAAAGTTGAAACTTTCACCACAAAGATAGCACAGGAGAGGCTATTGGTGAAAGTGCAACCCAGTTGCAGAAGACTCCAGAGATTTGCAGATGACAGTTCCATGGGACAAACACCAAGAACAGCAGAAGTGGTAGTGGGGAGCCTACCCAAATTTAGAAGACAAGCTGTGTGTGCTGTAGAAGGCAGAGACCATGCAAGTGTGAACTGTCAGCTCAGGCTAGTTGATTCTGTGAGTTTTCTTGCGATGTCCTTGAACCCTCTGGTTCCTATAATCCTTTTTCCCCATCTTCTGCAGGATTACGTGAACTCTGTCTAATATTTGGCTGTGGGTCTGTACCTGTTTCTATCAATTGCTAAATGGAGCCTCTCTGATGATAATTGAGCTGGTCACAGGAGATGGCCAGTTCAGGCTGTGTATCTACTATTGATAAAAGTCTTAGCTGGGGACATCCTTGTAGATTTCTAGGAGATTCTCTTATGCCAGGTTTTTAATCTAACCAATAAAAGCCCTGCCCTTTCCAGTAGTCTCTTTCAGTACTGTCTCTCTCCACTCCCCCAAACTGATCAATCATGTTCCCATCTTTTCCCAACCTCTTTCTGCTCGTGAAACCTCTTCTATTTTCCCTTCCCAAGGAGATCTGGGCATCTTATCCATGAACCTTTCTTGTTACCTAGTCTCTCTGGGTCTGTGAATTGTTGCATAGGTATCTTTTATTTTACAGCTAGTATCCACTTATAAGTACATACTATGTTTGTCTTTCTGGGTCTGGGTTACCTCACTTAGGATGATTTTATTCGAGTTCCATCTTTTTTCCTTCAAATTTCTTGGTGTCCTTGTTTTTCACAGCTGAGCAATGCCCCATTGCATAAATGTATACCTCATTTTCCTTATCCATTTCTTAGTTAAGGGACATTTAGGTTGTTTCCAGGTTCTAGCTACTACAAATAAAGCTGTTATGAAAATAGATGAGCAAGTGTCCTTGAAAAATGATTGAGCATTCTTTGGACATATGCCCAAGAGTGATATACCTTGGTCTTGTGGTAGATTGATTCCCAGTTTACTCAGAAATCACTACACTGACTTCCAAAATGGTTGTAAAAGTTTACATTCTCATCAGCATGGAAGAGCGCTCCCCTTGTTCCACATCCTCTCCAGCACGAACTGATACTTATTTTTGATCTTAATCATTCTGACAAGTGTAAGATGGAATCTCAGAGTTGTTTAGATTTTCATTTCCCAATGACTAAGGATATTATGCATACCCTTAAGTTTTTCTTAGCCAATTGAGATTTTCTGCTGAGAATTCTCTGTTGAGATATGTATCCCGTTTTTAATTGGACTATTTGGTTTGTTGATTTCTAGAGTTTTGAGTTCTGTATATATTTTGGAAATCAGCCCTAGAATGGTAGTCAACAGATGTAAAATTCCTTTAACAACCATACCTTCCATTCCTATAAGATGACCGTACCCACACAAATACTTCTTTTTTCAAATCAAATGATTGGTATTAAGTGAATAAAATGCATTTCTTGTTATTTTTAGTGTTTCAAGATAGAGTTTCTCAGTGTAGCCTTAGCTATCCTGGAATTCTTTCTGTAGACCAGGCTGGTCTTGAACTCACAGAGAACTACCTGCCTCTGCCTCCTGAGTGCTGGGACAAGTGCCACCATGGTATAAAATACATTTCTGGCCCCTTAAGAGAAAACAAAAAAAAAGGAAAAGAAAAGAAAGAAAATTCTTACATAGCTCTTTGAATTACACATATTTGTAAAATATACAAAATATTGCTTTGAGATAAAAGTTACAAAGTTTCCATGATTAAAATTTGTTCTGCATTTTCTGTACATGTTTATTTCTTTCAGTTCATTGCTCTTCAAGTTCATTGGTAGCAAATGAAAACTAGTGATCATTGAGAACTACATTTTATTCATTCAGAACAATTGATTACAGTTCATCAAGGGAAAGAATTGTTTTATGGCTAAAAATTCATAGTCTTAGATAATGGAAAGTAAAACTGAAAATGTTCTAAATAGGATAGTAACAGAACATAAAATTATAGCAAGGACAATAAGCAACAAATCAGGATCAGACAGTTATTAATAGCCCCAAATAAGTTATTTTCTAACAGCACCATACAACACTGTTAGTTCTTTAAACATAGAAAATATAAACTATGCAAATTGATCTCTAACTATAATGTGGACTTTTCTAATTCATAAAATTATTGTAATAAGGGTATTATTTTTATTTAATAGAGTTCTGTAAGGAAACTAATAAAAATTGCATGTTTAAAATAAAAAATAAACCTCCTAGCTTTTTGCTTTATTTTTTTAAATTGATATTTAATATATAATATCTTAACAATAATTTTAAATTTATATTTTGGAGTTATAGCTCAGTGATAAAGCACTTCTCTGACATTTAAAAGCCCCAAGTTCAGTCCTCAATAATAGAAAAATGGAAAAGAATAAAAGAGGAAAGAAAGAGATTTATATTCTATTTTCTTAACATTAACATGAAGGCATTTAAATAAAGTTCAACATCAGTCTAATATCAACATATTGAATACATAGTTATTGTAAGTGCCTAAGGAAGTGTTCTATCCCTAATCAAAACTAAGTTCCTTTCACTGTTTACTTTAATGTAGATATTAGAATAACAGCATTTAATATAAACATGTATATTTCACTTGATGTTGTATTATATATTGGTATACATTATATACATAAAACAACTCCAGAAAGCATCTGACCTCCAAAGTAGCACCAAATTAAAAAAAAATAAACAAAAACAAAATTGTATTTCATCGGTGACCTTTATCTTTCTTTTTTTTATCACCCTTCTACCAGTCAGAACAATATGCACAAAAAGTATTGGAGGGCTCACATTCTAGAAATCTGGTGAATTGTGTAGGATACAAAGATTACAGTTAAAGTGCTCTCTTGGGTAAAAAATGTCCAGAGAGACAATGAACATCATCTCTTTAACATAACAGAGCTATGGGGAGTTTGGAGGCGGTAGAAAGTATTCCTGATAAATACTAAATTATGCTGTAGGATAATGCTCTTATACACTGTAAAGATTTGCCACTCACATTGGTTTATTAAAACGCTGGTTGACCAGTAGTCAGGCAGGAAGTATAGGTGGGGCAACCAGACTAGGAAAATTCTGGGACAAGAAAAGAGAGAGACAGTTGCCACCCAGATGCAGAAGAAGTAAGATGAGAATGCCTCTCTGAGAAAAGCCACGTAACTAAACATAGACAAGAATATGGGTTAGCCAGGCAGTGGTGGCACACACCTTTAATCCCACTACTCAGGAGGCAGAGGTAGCTGGTTCTCTGTGAATTTGAGGCCAGCCTGGTTTACAAGAGAGAGTTCCAGGTTCTCTGCTCCAAAACTGCAGAGAAATACTGTCTCGAAAAACAAAAAAGGGGGGTGTTAATTTAAGTTGTTAAAGTTGTAAGTGTTAATTAATCAAGGTGTGAGCTAATAGGTCAAACAGTTTATAATTAATATAAGCCTCTGTGTGTTTCTTTGGGACTAAACAGTTGTGGGACTGGGCAGGACAGAAAGTTCCGCCTACAAAATTCTGCAAGGGAACTACATATAGAAAGGAAGGCTAGGCATATTAAATATATTTTGAGAGAGAGTAATTTTTTTCAAAAAAGCATGTGAATTCCCATAGCAACAGAGAAAATGCCCAACATTCTTGAGGCTCTCTTGCTACTTAAGTGACTCTTCATACAAATCACTGACCACTAGGTACCTATTTATATCTCCCTATAGTGCAATTATAAAAGCATTTCCTCTCCCTTACTTAGACATTGCAAAACTGGGCTCCCAAATAGTCTAGAAATCAGTATTTTGATTGTGTATAACATTTACAGAAAATAACTAGTTATTTTATGAACAGTACTAAGTTGTTTCACCATCAATCTAATCTGTACAGCCATATAACCTCTGGTGGTTTCAAATGCTGATTGTTTTCTGTTAATTGTTTTCCAACTTTGGTACACTGACATATTTATGGAAACAGTTCACAAAAGGAGACATGAAAATCTTCAAATGAACAATTAGCATCTGAGCTAACCATTCCTGAGTAAATACATAGGCACAAATAAGAAATGGTCATTTTCTTTTATTTCCCTCTGAATTTCTGTAGTTTGAAAAATAATTGGCCAATTAATCATGTATAGTACTTAAGGATAAAAATATGAAATATCCACTAATTAGCTTTAAACTATGAATTACAGTTTAGAGTCATTGTAACAGCATTAGCATCTAGATTTGTTTCACTAAGTTTATAACAAAATATATAAACCAGAAACTTAAAGGAAGCTTTCTACAATGAAGATTTAAAGATAATGATCCTTTAAATTTCTTTAGAGATGAGAAATGGGTCTTTCAAATACTAAACGCCATTTTATTTGGTAATGACCACCACAGTTTGGAGATAACTATAGTTTTATTTACCTTCATAAATATGTAACAAAACCAGGCGCATTCTCTCAAAGACAGCAATGTTGGTAGAGGTGAACTAGTTCAAACTCTGAAGCACAAGTCTTCTTTCACATATTACTATTCTGTGACACCTTTTCCTCTTCCCTCACATTCTCCAAATTCACTGGTCTCGGGTTCCTACATTTCTGAATTCTGCTGCTTACAGTCACCAATCTCTTTTCATGTGTTCATTTTTTAAAAGCTTTTTGATTCACAAATTTACATATTATAATTATTCTCAAAAGTAGAAAACCATTATCAAAAGCATTGTTTCTTATTAGAACATCTCATTTTATGGAAGACTAGCCCTGGCAGAGGGCAAGAATTCTCTATAGAATTTGAGATGAATTTATTTGAAACTAGAAAGAGAAGGGAGATATTTTGCACCCATTGCATTCCTGACCATCTTTATGTGTACTCCTTTGAATGATGTTGATGTTGCAGTATATTCACCTGTTAGCTGGTTAACGAGCAACATCTGTGTAGTCAATATTTGTTAGAAATGACTTCTAGGTCCCTTTCATCCTTCTTTTTAACAATACTTGGAATTTCCAAGTGAGGATTTAGCACTGCCCTTGTTTTTTAAGAGAACCCATAACTGATTTAAGTTATTTCATCCTTTATGATATCACTTTCTTCTTACTAATAAGTGAATAATCAACTTTGTTTCTTATATTTGACCTGAAAAGCTTCTGCCAAGTGTCACTGACAACCATCATGGGAGCATCCAAGGGAAGCAACATGAGAATTGGACCAGTAGGACGTAAATGAAACTAACACTGTGGGAAGGATTCAGAGAGAAGCTTCTGCTCATCGTTAATTTCAAACACAACAAGAACACCTTGTAGCATTCATCTTCTCTAGACTGTTATGTTGCATATGGGACATATGCAACATGTATTGTACATATAAGCTAATTATATCTGGACTTTCTAATGCATCTCTATCAAAAATATTCATAGGTGATAAAGCTTCGTTCTAGTAAATGACATAGATCCAATCAATTTTTATCAAAGTAGATATTGGTGGTGAAAAAAGAATGACCAAAAACCTATGCCATAGACATCATCATTAATGTGTTCAGGTCAGAAGAACAGTTTAGAATCTTGGTTTTGGTCTTCGAGAGAAGGTTGGATAGTTAACATAAATGTCCTCTTTCTCATCATCTACAGAGTGGATGGGAGATGTGGGACTTCTGCAGTTGGTAGCTACCTAAAAAATAAATAGCAAAACATTGAGTGGTTCATTAAATTTCAGCATCCAATGAAAGCATTCTATAAGACCCTCCAAATATACTTAGCTAAATTTCCATTACAAATAATTTGATAAATTTTCCCCATATTATACAAAACTTAACTAAAAATTATATTCTCAATTTACAAGACTGGAATAAATGCTAGATAAGTTTAAGGCATATTATCAGTTTTAATATCATTCTCATTAGTTCTTCAAAGATAAGCTGTCCTCTACCTTTGCAGGGTCTAGTATACTTTCCCATAGTGTGTACAGAGTAATATCTGATTAAAGTATACCTGAATAAATAAAATTTTCCTTAAATAAAAATTTTTATTCATTTTGATTATTTTAAATATACATATACAATATTTAGGTCTTGTTTATCACTGTTCCTTCCCCTAACTTCTACCAGACTCATCAGTACACTCCTGCCAACTTCATGTCCATTTTTTTAATAACCCACTGACTCCAATTTGTTCTGCCCATATACAAGAAGGTGTGGAGTCATCCACTGGAACATGGTTGACCCATCAAAGAACACATCTTTAAAGAAAACTGACTCTCCATCCTATAGAAGTCATCATCTGTGAATAGCTTCTCATCTACGGGTTGGGTCTTATGAATTCACCTTCCCTCCAGGTTGGAATGCTGACTCTTTTCGTCTTGCATGGATATTGGGTAGACAATCACAGCTGCTGAGGATTCATTAGTGTGGTCAGTAATTATATGTCCAGATGAGAGTGTTTTAATTCAGTCCTTCCCTTCCCAGGATCTGACTCTTATAATTTTTCTAACTCCTTTTCTAGATAATCTGATGATCTCTAAGCATTGGGAAGAACAGGCTTCAGTGTGTGTGTGTGTGCGTGTGTGTGTGTGTGTGTGTGTGTGTGTGTGTGTACCATGAATAGTTAAGCACTCCACTGATACTTATTCTCTTCGCTTCTCTTTAAATTAAGCTGTGTTTCTATGTTAACCACTATCTACTGTACAAAGAAACTTTTGTGGTAATATCTGAGAGCAACATTAGTTTACAGATACTTAAATATGAATTTAGAGGGCAGATTCATACTACATCCATTTAGAAAATGCATAGTATCAGGTTCATGAATGGGGCCTATAGGCTCTCCACCATGGGTCTTACATTTACAGTACCAGGCATACATTTCCTCCCATGGAGCAGGTCTTAAATCCAACCAGAGAGTAGTTGATTAATCAATAACATTTGTACCACTAATGCACAGTGCTATGCAAGATTTTTGATGACTTTTCCCTCTAGCAGCCTAAGTAGCCCCCTTTGGTGTTATCTATGAAAGCTATCCAAAGAGGAGACAGCTTCTTGTCAATGTCAACTTGATTTTTCTCATATAGCATGGGTAAAGTGTGTGGTGTCTTCATAATAGGATCTTATCATTAAGTTCTGGTGGGTAATCAGGAAGAGTAGCACTAGATTGTACTGTTTGAAGTTCCTCAAGGACACTCCTAACAAACAACTTGAGAGGCAGAAGCCCATACCTAGCTTTATTCCCTTTAATAAACAAAAACGTTAAAGTACACAGTTTCCTAGCATTAAAAAAGTAAACAACTAAATACACATGCACACAGAGAAACAGTTTGATGATTAATTCAAAATGAAATGATTTTGTATATGTATGAAGAAAGAAAAAGGAAAAGAAAGGAGCTTTGATATTGCTATGGACTGTGTAAAGCACTCAAAAGAATCAAATATATCTAACACCTTTATTTTTCACAGTTTTAAGATTTCAATAGTTTAAGATTACTGAAACTGTCCACAAATCCTTTACCAACAGAAGTCTAGAACAATTAGATATCTAGTAGAAATAATTTATAGCCTTTTTCTTTCTACCCTCAAAATTCATAGCAACACATTGGCATTTGGATTGGCTTAATGGGACAAATAACTCAGCACAGAGAAGGGATTCTGAATCTAAGCATTGGAATTGGAGCATCATCTTTTGTGCTGTGCTAGCGTATGAACTAAGACAATACATCTTTGTTTTGAACTTGATTCCAAGAAGTAAACCGTGAGTAAATCAGGGAAAAAATTTTAAAGACCAATGCTTCATAACACAGGAAAATTAAGTTGATAGATTTTTAAGAAGTCTGCAGCACACATATCAGATTGCCAGGGACTTTTTAGTACTTATCCTTTTAGGCATGTAGAATTTGACTGCAAATAATTAAAGTGAAGAAAAATTGATGTCATTTTGGATAGCACTTGAGAAAATGTCTTAGTTCAGGCAGCTATAACAAAATAGCATAGACTAAGTGGCTTAATTAAACAGCAAACATTTACTTCTCACAATTTTAAAGTGTTTAAAATCCAATGTCAAATATCAACTGAGGGTTTGATGCTTGAATTACAGATCGTCTTCATCCTTCTTCCTGTGCAAAATCTTTTCTTGGATAAAAACAAGAAACCAAGGTGTCTGGCTTTTTAAACTCTTTCCATTTCTTCTTATAGAAACACTAACACCATTAACGAAGGTTCCACCCTTATAACCCAATCACCTCTGCAAGGCCCTACCTCCAAATACTATCACATACTGGAGGTTTGATGATTTCAATATATGGATTTAGTAGTCATATGAGCATTCAATCCCCAGTAATGTTTTATAGTTAAAGTTAAAAATATAATAGTTTGCTACTAAAATAGAGATATTTGAATTAAAATTGAAGACAATGAACATGAAACAAAGCCCCTCTTTTCCTTAACTGCATGCACTTAAGGAAATTTCCATCCTTTGAATTAAACAGTAGGGGGCAGAAGCATAATAAAGTAAGAAAGAAAAAAATTATAATTTGCTACAATCCTGCAACACACTTGACAATTCAGTAACTTTATAACCTATTTGAGCATTTATAATTAAAAATTAATTCAAAGATAATATTATTAATGAAAGTCATGCATTATACCTTTGTGTGTGTGTGTGTGTGTGTGTGTGTGCTATGCTTCTGAGTCATTTATGTAGTTTAATTTAATTTAGCCCACATAATAACCTTATGACATAAAATGTTATGTTCCATATTGAGTTGAATAGATGCATCTTTAAAAATGTCTCTATAAAAGATAGCCCCTGTTCCCATTGTTAGGAGTCCCAAAAGAGGACCAAACTACACAAATATAACATAAATGGAGAATACCTTGGTCAACTCTCTGATTGTCAGTTCAGTCTCCATGAGCCCCTATAAGCCCAGGTTAGTTGATTCTATACTGGATCACCTTGCCCAACCTCAATAGAATGGAGATGTCTAATCTTAATGTAACTTGATGTTGATGTTCATGGAAGACCTGCCCTTCACTAAACTAAAAAGGAGGAGGAGTGGATTGAGGATTGGGAACAGAGGGAGGGGTTGGGGGAAAGGACTGAGAAGAGAGGAAGAAGGGGACACTAACTGCAGTAAGGATGTAAACTAAATAAATTTATACTCTAAAATGTCATTTCAGAAGCTTCATTATTTAACATGTTTTAAAAGAAAGATCTTTGCAGATAAGTTAACACTAAAAAGATGGGAGGATGACTTAGAGGCTAATGTGCTTAGTGGGCGAACATTAGCATATGAATTCAGATTTCCAGCACCCAGCTGGGTACAGATCCCAGTAACTCAAGTACTAGGAGTTTAAGACAAGATCTCAGTCAATGGCCAGCCAATCTAGCAAAAGTAGCAAGCTCTCAGTCAATGAGACACTCTCTCAAAAAATAATATGGAGATATATAAAGGAAAATATAAGATATCATAAACCACCTGCCACCCCACACATATTGGCAAAAAAGCTTGCCTTCATATGCACATGCACGCACTCAAAATTTATGCAGATAAGGTTAATGTGTTAAACTGAAGTAAGGAACATCAGCCTTTAGTCCAATATGACCAGAACCTTTATTAGAGCCAAGGACATCCAGACAAACACAAATAAGACATCATGTGAGCAAAAGGAGAGATTTAAAGGTGTATCTGCAAGTCAATGACTGTGGAGAATTGCAGGAAGCTACCAGAAGCTGGAAGAAAAGACCAATTTTACCTCAGAAATAGCCATCTTTCTTGTACTTTTTGTTTTTTTTTTGTTTGTTTGTTTCAATCCTCAAAATCATGAAAGAATAGATGTCTATTGTTTTAAACTACCAATTTTGTTCAATGTGTTATGGAAACACACGTAATGCAGATCTTGGTAATGTGTAGTGATGTCTAATTATATCAGTGTAATTTCTATCCTTTTCCTCACAATCCTCCTGCCTCACCTTTCCAAGAGCTAAAAATATGGGTGTGTAGTAATTTTAACACTAAAAAAATTTTAAAATCCTGGCTTCAGAGTTGTTAACAATAAGAGGATAACTATTTCCTCAGCTAGTTGATACTTGAATTGCAAGCAATGTCATTTCAAGATCATTGAAAGGGAAATAAGCAATAAGATTGACAAGTGAAAATTTGAAAAAAAAAAAAAGCTCTTATGGGAGATCTTTCAACAAATAGGAGTAATGACAATCAACTTACCTTACTCTGTTTATCACTGGGCTCTTTAAGTGGTGTTCTCACCTGTCTCCTTCTCCTTCTAGAATACAAATTTAGCAAAGAATATTAAGGTACTGTACACTAGTCATCCCTACCGCTCAGTTCCTTCCTCTGTCCCCAGCCACTGTGTACCTCATGAAAACATAGTTGTGGCTATAAATAATTGCTTTATATCTACGCTCTCTACTCTGATGGTTTGAGTGTCAGCTTGGCAAGATTAAAAGTCATCATGGAAATATATTTTTGGTGTGATTTTGGTTTCCAGATATTTTTATCTGAAAAATGAAGACTCATGTTGTATCACCATCCTTTGGTAGTGCCAAAGGCTCAATAACAAGAAGAAAATACACCGAGAATCACTTCCCTTTGCTTCCTGACTGGATACAACATGACTGGATGACTAAAAACTCTTCCTTCCATGATTTTGAAACTGTGAGTCAAAATAAATTTATTCTTCCTTAGGGCTGCTTTTTCAGGCATTTGTCACAGCAATGAAAAGAGTAACACACTTACCTTTTCCAACGTGCTCATAGATGGGAAAAACAATAACTGACCACAGTGGTTTTACAAAACACTATACAGCACTTAAACAGTACAGCTTTTGGACTTAGAGGTTTTCTACAATTAAATCTTCTTTAAAATGCCAACACCATCATTATTGGATGACAATAATCATTGACTTAAGCTTCTTAAAATCTCATGGGTCTTATAAACGATCGGGTGCATTATTTTATCTAGAGTTTATCAAAGCTCTAATAGAATAGGGGAGTGCTTAGAGGGGAAATAGCGTCTTGCCTATCTTCTCATGGTTGGTTCGCTGTGGTGCTGAAGTTAAAGCCACAGTCCTCCCACCTGACTCAAAGGCTCCCCATTCTGAGTCACCTGGACAAGCAGACCATCCAGAGACACGGTGTGCAATGCACTCACCTAGGAAAACCAAAGATCTGTGCAAAATTTCAAAATAATAAATATAAGAGAAACAAAAAAAGGTATGTCAAATGAATGTGTAGAAATATCCACAGCCAAGACTATGGAAAGAGCTGTGATGGGTACCATGGCTCTCTCTTTGTCATCTCTCTCCAAATAAAATTCTAACTGAACTGAAGCAGAAACAGATTCAACACAAGAAACGAAAATTTTTGTTTTTTCTTTTTCTCGGTGTTTTGTTTAAAGACACAATTTCAACTCCTCTGTAGAAAATTTGAAAGCAAGATATTCTTTCTAAAAGCTTCTCAGTAATAGCTATTGGTTGCCTACAGTGGATACTTGGAATTCCTTGGAAGTAGCCCTACAACCTCAGCACAATCTTACTTCTTTATGTGTGTTTATTTGGCTTTTGTTATTTTAGAAATTAGTCTTCAATTTATTTACTCCTTCTATGTATAAATGTATGAAGTATAATTAACATTTTCTTAAGCTTATGTAAGTCAACTCTTATTTATATTTTAAGAAAATATGTCCTATGACTGTTATTGGATGGATCTGTGCCTCTGACCATTTAAACTGTTCATAAGAAATGATTGTGTGTGTTGTCTGAGTGTCTCTGTGTTTGTGTGTGTCTATACACACATGTGTATCTCTGAGTGCATGTGTCTGTGTGGTTATGTTTACCAATATTTAAATAATTTTCTTTATGTAACTTGTGTTGTGCTGTTTGCTACACATGAGATCAATATCTCTCATAATAAGTCCTCTTACCTCATAATATAGTTAGTACATATACCAAGACTGTTTTGTGTTGAACAATTGCCCTGGTTTGTCTAATCGTAAGGTACTTCCCAGTATGTGAATTTTTTTCAATGCTGAAAAAAGGAGTTTCCAGTATAGCAACACATTACATAATCTGTACATTTTTATCAAATGTACAAATAAGCAACATTATTCTCACTAAATGTTATATATTGCCTTACAAAGACAGATGTCCAACTCAAGAATAAACTTTGGTTCATTTCATTCTAAGTGGCACTCTGTATTTCCCCTGTCATGCTCATTTACTATTGTCATCGTGAAGCAGAAGACTTGCTTCCAAAGACATCAAAATCACAGGTGACTAAATGTCAAGAGTAAAGTCAGGATTTGCTTTGGCTCCTGCCCAACTCAGCACATCTGAAGCTGCAGTATTATTCTAAACAGCAAGATGTGGGACTCTGGGTCATTGCTACAACCCTTGGGTCAGTTTTTAAAGCATTTCCATTTGAAGTAAGAACCAAAACAGACTTGTGCCGAGGTAGGACAAACAGCGTCCTTTCTTTTCTGTTTTTCACCTACTGTTATGCAGTCAAGCCTACTAATCTTTTTATAACATTTAACCAGGGAAGGTTATACATTCTTTCGTTCAATTTAGTTGTTCCGGTAAAAGTAATGCATTTTCAAGAAGCAAAACCTATCATGTCCAACACCTGTGACCCTCCAGAGGTCCCTTCTGCCACTCATTGTCTCAGCTGTGCTGCATGTCCCTACTTACTCCTCCTGTGGTCTCTGCCCTTTGCAAGTTTGTATAAACTAAAGTGGAGCAGTATGCTTGTGGGGGGGGTGTCTTTACTTCAACTTGGTTATAAAACACTTAAGATCACCCATGATGGGGGTAAAGGAAAATTTTCATGTGTCTCAAAGTACTTGTAGTACCTAGACATATTAGTGCTAAACACATTTGAAAGCTAGAAATGAAAAATCACAAAATTCTCAAATTATGGTTATCATACATAGATGTGGAGGAAACAATGACAATCACAAGAAGAATTAAAATACAAAGTAAGATTCGAGGAACAGCAGATAAGGAGGACAAGATGATTCCAGATAGTGACATCGTATCTATTTGAAGGAACATCAAAAGAGGACAGATCTCTGGCATGGGGAAAGAGAACAAGTGTCTTGCATGCTGAAAGAAGCACAAGACTGAGGACAAAATAGAGAAACTGTATTTTTGTAACAAAATTATCTTCTGAACAATGAGTTGAACATGTTAAAAATATATATAATTGTTCCAAATTTAACAAAATTAATCAGCACACTAGGAGGAGTAGTAATGTGGAAAATATAAATAAAGAGGGTGATGTCAAGAAGCAAGGCACCTTCAGTGACTTGGTTGATGGGTTCTAAGATTATTCGGTGTCTGGGAGAAGATAATACAAGTGTCAATCAGGAGAATGACATCACCAATCCTATTTTCCAAAGGAATAGGCACAAATCAATAGGTTAGAAGGAGAAAGTTTGTCAGAGAGCAAAGTGGGAGGGTGAAAGAGTTATTAAAATTAGGTGACAGTGAAAGAGGTAGAGGTCAGAGATAATATTTGGAGACAGGACATATAAACCTACTGGAGAACCAAATCAGTGTGTGTGTGTGTGTGTGTGTGTGTGTGTGTGTGTGTATGTGTGTGCGTGCGTGCGTGTGTGTGTGTGCTTTAACGTTATCAGCAAGAAAAGAACAAAATTTTATTTATTCATTTATCAAAACAACCATATTAAGTGCCTGTGCTTTTACAGACATGCAAAATATGAATGTTCACTTTGGGGCCCTTCTCCCTTTGGCAGAGAACACTCCAGCTAAAACATAGTATAGGTTATCCAAGACAGTTAAGTATGAGAAATACAAGGAAGATCAGTAGTGCTCATGGGAGAACTAGAAGGGAAAGGAAGGGCCAACTAAGATAATTTTAGAACTTTCCTATATGCTGAAATACAGTAAAAAGTAAGAAGCTTCATTGGAACCTAAACATCTCTCTAAGGCCTTCCAGCTCCTAGCTAAGTCGCTTCATTTAGCACCCCTACACGGCTTGTCTCAGAAACCACCAAACCATTTTTTATCTTGCTAATATGTAAGCTTCCTTACCTCTTATTTACCACATTTCAGTAAAAAAAAAAAGTTGATGAATGAATAAAACATTACAGCTCTTCTCCCCATTTCTTCTTCTCTCTCTGTTGCCCCTTTGAGTCCCTCACACAAAACCTTCTCAGCTGGCAGCTATTCCGGTGGAGGAGGAGAAAGGGAAGATGGTGGAACAAAGGATTTTGCTAGAATAAGAGGGCACACTACCAACTCTACTAATAATTACATGAATGATTACAATTTTTGTCTATAATATTACTGCCCCTACATCTCATTACATTTTTAAGAACAGAAATACACACACACACACACACACACACACACACACACACAAATCCTGAATCATCTTGATAAGTTGTTGGATCATTCATAGTGAATCAAAAGTATCAGAATTATTCTAGACAAATAGGACTCAGGCTAATGTGTTTTACTCACCTGCTATAAAAAATAATTGTGATTATAATTAGGATAACAAGCAACAGTGAAACTGATCCTCCAACAATGGGAAGTATAAAATGTTTATTGGCTCCACCTAGAAAAAAAATAAGGCATGAATTAGTAATTTAGTTAAAGCCACCAAAGAAAAGAGGGGAAATGAAGAAAGGATCCAGTAATCATGACAGGATAAAAATCAAACTCAAAGAATTTAATAACAATAGGATGGGGTAAGGGGAGAAAGGCATTTTTCCTTGAGAGTCTCCTTAATTCTTATGACTATCACAGGTTTTTATTACTTTCTTGACTAAGTTGAGTTCAACAACAACAAGAAAAATATGGAGCTGAAAAATGGCTCACTGGTTATTTCTTTTGCAGAGGACCTATGCTTGGTCCCCAGTGCCTGCACAGGGGCTCACAATTGCAGCACCTGAGAATCTGAAACTTTTGGCTTCCAAAAGCACTTATGCTCACAATACATACATTACACAGATATGCATATATACATAAAGTAACAAAAATAGGTCTTAAGAAAGAGCAGTAGTGGTAATAGCACCCATCGAACACATATGCTCTTTCATTATCATATGCAAAAAAGTCCTTGCAGAGGAAAAAAAATGCAATGCTGGAGTAATATATTAACAGAACTGCATCTTATGTTGATGTATACTCTATGTAGGCAAATATAACTTAAATGTTTACCAGAATTTTAAGAATATACTTTATACTACATTTGAATGAATTTTATAAGTGATATTGAAGTTAAACATGTTACTCTGACTTGGTGTTGTCTGGAACTCTAAATTTTCCCCTTGACTGATCACTGTTTTAGCTGATTGGCCTCTAGCATCATCTTTCTCTGCTCAGAATCTTTGCATCTCTCAAACGAGGTGATAAATAAATATTTGAAAGAATGATGAGTTACTACTTGAGAAATCCCACCTCTGGAAGTACTAGATTGAGGTGAGAGACTACTCCACTTTTCTCTGTGACCTCCCGCTCACGGCCACCCTCACCCATTTCCACTCACAGAGTATCTTGTGAGATGAGCCCCATCACTGTTAGTTGTTGGCAGCGGTGAACCTGAAATGAGGTTTACCTATTGTCTTTATTGCTGTCTACAGAGACAGCACATTTGCCACTGCCGTATGGAAATCAATGCCAACCTGAGAAGAATATCGCTTCAACTCATTCTACCTCATATTTCTTCAGAACATCCCATACTTCCTAAGTCATAGTTTCACTGAATCCTTTTCTCATGATAGAAACCTAAAGTCTAGACCAGCTTTATTCAAAAGAAACTAAGACAAATAATAGATGTTTTCAACTTTTCAATTTGTTTAATCTGTGTTATAAGACTAAGTGAGAGCAACTATACAGTGGTTCTCCTTCTGAGTCTGGTTTATGTCATTTAACAGATTATCAGAAGGTTCTTCTCAGTGTCACAGATGACATCATCTTTTCTCTGTACTGCTGAAAGCTACATCGCTCTGTATTAATTCTACCAGTCATAGACGTGTTGGTTGTTTCTATATGTTGAGTGCTGTGAAATAAGGCAGACACATAGAGACAAATACTTTGAGTCCAAGCATGTGTGAAATCTAAAAATGCTGAAATCTTTGATTTCTGGCACAGAGCAGGAAGTAGTGAAAATGGAATCACACTCAAGGGTACAAGCTTTTGTTATGTGAAGAAAAGGTTAAGGGCTATAGATTATAATACAGGTAAATTAGGTGTGTGCTAAGTAATTTGGTGATGGTAATCCAGGCTCTATATTTCAAATACTGAACACCTTAAATATATTTAAGCTTTGGAAATACATATTTAAATTTTAAATAGCTAGAAGATGACTCAGTTTGCCTTACTATCACAAAGACTTGACTACTGACCCCATAGAAAGTCTCTGGTGGTGTCACACTCTATATTCAGTAGAGAAATAAACAGATCCTGGGACTGAGTGGGCAGGTCAGTATGAGGTCCAGTTTCCAAAAGCAAGATGAAGAATTTCCGAGGGACAGCACTTAATGCTGCCCTCTGGTCTTCACATGCACATGTACACAGGTACACTTGCACAGACACAAACATGTACGCACACACATGAGTATACACACATACAGATTTAGAGTATATTTTCTTCTTGATTTTTGTTGTTTTTTTCCAAATTTTCTAAATAATATGTTGTTTTTGAATCAGAAAATCTATGAAAGCATGTATCAGTCTATATGCTTAAAACAGAATGATCATTAAATTTTAGTCTTTACTTTTAAAGGATAAAATTTGAGGAACTCCTTTTTAAAGTAGATTCAGAATCAGTAAGAGTTAAGATCATGGTTTTGCTGTGTTCAATTGTATGACTTTAGACTATTTTCATCAGAGTTCTCAACCATAAATCCTAGTTTCAAATACTTCAGCTTGAAGCATGTTTCCCATGACCAGCCTCTATTAGTAAATCTGACCATAATGCCAGGTCCTTCTGTTCAGTGTCTAAACGCTTAGAGTCTCTCAATGTGTTGGGTAATGGGCACCACAGAGGGTGACAGATAAATACTTTATACCTGATTTAGTTGAATTTTATTACTTTGAAACTCTCTCCATGTTTTAAAATCAGGCACCAAACAAGCATTTCCCCTCCAGAAATGAGTGTATAGAGAAGCACAGCTTCAGCCACACTTGGACCAGCATGGCCTGAAGCCATCGCTGTCCTACCTCCCTTCCCTGCCTTCTTTATGTACCTGCTATGGGAATGGCCAGAGTAGAGCAGGGATGGACCTCCATAAGACCTGTGTGGATTAAAAAACAGAAAGCATTCAGGATGCTTTGGGGAGTTAATCAATACTTCATAACATTCACTTTTCCCCCTTAAGTTCTGCTAATAGATCTGTGGTTGAATAATGTCAGCCCTCAAGTCCTTCTCCTAAAGAAAGAATTATTATCTGTTCCCAGTGGTCCCTTTCTAATAACTTTTTTTTCCTGTATTCCAATGCTGTATTGATTCATAGGAGGACAAAACTCTCTTGAATGATGAAGCCATTATTTTTCCTCCTTCCACAAAGGATAAATACAGTTAAAACAATTTCAAGCAAGTCAGTAAAATTTATAAATGAATACTTTTCTCTAGCCCTGTGGCCTTCCAGGGTAAGTTTCTGCAAGACCAAGTATTTATGACTGAGTTATTAACCTTTAGAGAAGACTCATGATAGAAATGTCACTTGTTCTGTCCAGCAGGGCTAGATGAGCAGAGCTGTTGACAGTGCCCACTGTTTGTCTTCGTTAGAGATTCAGGTGGGTTGGGGGTGAAGGCACCAAATAATGTAGAACTAAATAATAAGCCAAGTGCATTGGGCCAATCCTTTGATCCTAGTATTTTGGAGCTGACAGCAGGATTATCAAAAGTTTCAGTGCAGCCTGGGCTACAAAGCAAGCTTGAGGCCGGATTGAGCTGCATACGGACCATTGTGGGCGTTTTGTTTGGTTGTGTTTGTTTTTAGTTTTCCTTTTAAATTTTATCTTGTGGGGCAGCTTGCAAGAGCAAAGGGCAGAAAGAAAAGGACAGGAAGATGAATGGGATCAGGATGCATGATATGAAATCCACATAGAATCAATAAAAAGTTTAAAAAAAAAAGAAACCAACAACCAAAGAATCTAACTAACTGGACCAGAACACGTGAGGAAGGACACACATCCAGAATCGAGCAAATGTATTTTTCTATTGGTCATGAAAAAGAGAAGCACAAATGTTAGACCTTAATCTTAGGGCAGATGAAATGTAACTAATGCAGTTAGTTTACATGAAGCAGGTATGTATGAGCTCACAGAATCTGCAATATCCAGTCATTCCACATTTCAACTCAACATTAGACATAAAAATATCTCTAATCTTAAATTAAATAGGATCAAACTAAAAGCACAGTCACTGGAGATAAATGTGGAGCCTAGACCTGTCTTCTGCTTTCTTTCACTTGAAGAGTTTGTATAGGATACTTAATCTCTTTTATTAAGTAACAAAATGATCATAGAATCAATGCCAAGCATGCCTTTAATGTTTAAATAAAACATATAGCGAAATTTTAAGTATTTTCAACACTATACAATGTTAACTGCACAAACTATGCACTCACAGTTAGATTTTATACACACAATCCAAATAAGGATTAACTAAATAAGCCATTTCTAGTCATGTTGAAATGTCACCTTAAAGTACTTCTGTATCACAGATACTGCTTGCTCCTGTAACTAGTCACCTTTCTAGGGAAGGTTAAAAGTAATCGATATGTGTAAAATTATAGACCACCAGAACACAGTAAGCCAAAATTAGAAAATGAAATATACATCAAGTAGATGCTGGTATTCTAACATCACTCCAGGTTTCCAGAGACCAATTGTCAGCATAAATTAGCTTTATAATTTTTATTTCATAAATGGTTTCCTGTTTCACATGAAGGAAATCCCAGCTTTCAGAGAATTAAGGAGCCATGACTCCAACCTCTAATCTATAGTGACTGGTGTGTGGGAAGGGTATTTAAATCAGTACCTTTTGTGGTTTAAATGAGAATAGCCTATATAGGATCATATGTTTGAATACTTGGTACCCGATTGGTGGGACAGTTTGAGAAGGATTAAAAGGTGGGACTTGTTGGAGAAGGTATGTCACTAAGAGTAGACTTTGAGGTTTCAAAAACCTATGCCATTACCAGTTAGCTGTTGGACGGGGAGAGCTGTTAGTTAGTCCCGGCTGCCCAGCCACGAAATAATCACACAGAAACTGTATTAATTAAATTACTGCTTGGCCCATTAGCTCTAGCTTCTTATTGGCTAACTCTCACATATGAATTTAACCCATTTCTAGTAATCTGTATATCACCACTTGGCTGTGGCCTACCAGCTAAAGTTCTGGCATCTGTCTCCAAAGGGGCTCCATGGTGCCTCTCTGACTCCACCTTCCTTTTCCCAGCATTCCTTTCAGTTTTCCCCACCTACCTAAGTTCTGCCCTATCATCAGGCCAAGACAGTTTCTTTATTCACCAATGGTACTCACAGCATACAGAAGGAAATCCCACGTCAGTTAGCTCGTTCTCTCTCTCTCTTTCTCTCTCTCTCTCTCTCTCTCTCTCTCTCTCCTTTTCCTCCTCCTCTTCCTTCTCTCTCTTTCCCTCCCTCCCCTTCTCTTTCTGCCTGATGATTGTAATATCCACATATAAGCTCTCAGCTATTGCTCCAGTGCTATGCCCGTCTGCCTGCTGCCCTGGCCCCCAAAGTGATGGTTATTGATAACCCTTTGGAACCAGGAGCACCACATTAAATGCTTTCTTTTATAAGCTACCTTGGTCATGGTATTTTGCCATGGCAATAGAAAAATAACTAAGATGATAATTGAGGCAAAATAAATGGCAAATGTTTTTGATTGTTAGTCACTGAGAAAAATTTTAAGTCTGAATGTATCTTCCTTCCAAACATGTCTTACTCTTATATATTTGCTTTACATTTTATAAACATTAAGTGTATTATAAGACAGAATGTCCAGAACTGCACGAGCCTCACTCACTTCTTAGTGACATACCTTATAGAAAATAATTCATGATACTAGTACATGTATCTTATAACTAGGGCTAACTTCCTAATAGCTCATTCAGCTATAACTTACATTGATGAAATAGGTGCCAACTTAATCCCATCCCCCTCAATAGTGCCACCAGCAGTGTAGCTAGGTACTAAATATTCAATGTGAGCCTTTTGGTTTGATACTTCATATTCAAACTGCAAGATCTTTTCCCCCAAGAATGGAAAATTTGACTTTGGGGACTTTATAACACTTTATTTTGTTTAAATGATATGTAAGTTAATGTGGGTACTTCTGAACATTTTCTTTTTCTGTGATGTCAGTAAGCCCTTCTGATGTTGGCTAGGAAACATTTTCCTTCACAAGCTTTGCTTTGAATCTTTTTAGCAAAAGCTAAGAACATGTCTATAGGCCATTAATTTTAATTCTTGTAAGTTTAGGCCCACTAATGAGGGTTCTGAAGTCTCCGAATACAAGTGAAATTTGAGGATATTTTTATTGATGCTGATAGCTTATTTTGCAACTATGTTTGTACTACATTATTTTTAAGAACACATACATTCATGTGTGTGTGCATGTGCTATTTGTAAAAGAACTTATCTGTTTGTAACAGGGCATATTTATCTAGGCAATAAGGAATTTGAAGTTTTAACAAATAGGCTTTTAGATTAGTAAATACATTTAAAATGTAACTAGTAAAATTGGATTATGTGGGCACCCATTTCATCAATTTGTGAAGGGATTAAAGAATTCGGACCTGAATGAACTGTTAAAAGGCTAAACCTACTGTTTTTTTTTTAAAGTCTAATGAGATTCTTTAATTTATCAAATTTATTGATAATGAATACCATAACACTATAAATAAAAGTAAACAGAGGGTAGAATTTATTAGTCTCATGCTCAGGTCAGTAGTAAACGTTAAGAATTAAGAACAATGATTTGATCTAGCTAATTCTACTCTGACCCAGACATCTGGGAGCAAAATTTAGGCATTTGTGGGCTTTCACAGATATACGTAAATGTCCTAATTGTACTCAGCGAGTTATATAAAAATATAGAAAACTTGAAGTTGGGAGTCAAACGTAGGAGGAGAAACCATAAGGAGTTGAAAGATGGGAAGACAAGTGAATATGTTGATATATGCTGTGTGCATGAAGGAAATTTAAAAAAATAATTTTAAATAAACAATCTAAGACTGAATTCCATACAAGTTTCAGATAATATAAGCTCTGTCTGTTTGACTAGGACACTATGGAAATCTGTTTAAAGATAAATGAACTTCCTAGTATACTTCCTGTTGGAGAAGTACTCTTCTCAAGAACCAAAGAGTTTTGAAATGTCATCACTAAGGAAAAATATCCCTTGGGCAGGTCCTATTACCCAAATTTTTCCCTGCAAAGGGACAACAACCTTCTGATTAAAGATTGGGGAAGCTTATTTTTCCTTTGATAAAGGCCATCAGCTAAAAATAGATACCACCCCAAGTCCCAGGTGAATCTGGCATGTTCTGCATGATATATGTCATGAAAGATTCTGTCAAGTCTGTTTACTTGAAGACTCATTATAATTTATCTTTAAAACATTTATGCAGTGAATCCCACTTGTCTACATTAAAATGGTATTTCTTACCTTGTTTTTAGTAGATCACTTGAGTTTCATAGCACACTCTAAATTCATGTTCATTCATAAATAAAACTGTTTTGTTTTTCTTTCACCTTTGGAGAAGTTTCTGGGCAGGGACATTTTGTTTCTAATTACATTTCCCCAGAACATTGCTTCTGTTATTGCTGTTTGACCAGGTGTGACTTTGTACAATGGTGTTCCTACTGTGATTATCCTCAAGGACACAAGAGGTAATACCCAATGTCCCACTTTCTTAATTGAAGATAAACAATATTCTATCTTCTGGTTTCAATAAGACACATAACAGGTTACCATACTATGTGTGTGTTTTTCAGTGTAGTATAAAAGGTCACAGAAACATGAGATAATGTAAATAGCCAGCACGTGCTAGTGTAGAGAGTATGCTTCTGTTGTATAGTTATATTTTATTTATGTTTTAGTAAATAAAGCTTGTCTGAAGATCAGAAGGGCAAAGATAAGCCACTAGAGAGCAGGCAGTGGTAGTATACACCTTTTCCCAGAATTTGCCAGAAAGGCAGAAGGATCTTTGTGACTTCAAGGCTACCCTGAACTCCACAAGATCAATGGAAAAGCAAGTCG